TACATATATATATACACATATATATATACATATATATATATATATATATATATATATACATATATATATACACCACCACCCCCAATATTTATATTTCAGTTTCGGATTCAGATTCTATTTATAAGCACTTAAAATGTTACACAAGATATTAGTTTCAAATAACTATAGATAAAACTATACATTTAAATGACTAATTGTTAAAATACTTAAAACTGATGAAATGTGTACACTGAGCGGTGGAAATCCTTTGGTACCCGAGTTCCATCCCTCATCTCCTAGTGGTGCTTCGGCTAGTGGACTAAAATGCAAATATAAAACAGTGTACCGTCCTTCGGATGAGACGTTTAGGTTAATGGTCCTGTGTGCAAAGTGGCACATGTGTGCAATGTCGCACATGTGTGCACGTTAAAGAATACAATACATGAGGGATACAGGGGTCATTTCCCCTACACTTGGTAGTGAGTAGCTAAAAGTGCGAAATCATTGTGACAAGAGATTAAGATAGCTAAAATTAAAATCAATCCAAGGGCATAGCCACAATAGGTAAGGGAATAACCCCCAACCGTTTTAAATCAGTCGGACCATAGGTCCTCAATTTACATTTTAGCAACCCTCTCTTCACCCGACAGCAAAAAACAAATGGATTCGCTCGATGTGTACACAGAATAGTCCCAAATTATTTATTTAATATTCTGAAATATATAATATAATTGCCGATGATGAATGTGGCATAAGGTAAATCTAATTCTAACAAATGGTACCACAGGGGACATAACACACACAATGATGAATGTGTAGACTTCAAATAGTTGGCTATATTGAAGTCAGATTACTAATCGAAGTTGCTTGTATGCATCAATCTTTTCTAAAGGAACTCCAGCGCCTTGTAATATTGACGTCAGCTTCCTCCATTCAACCTCGAACACATTAGTTGGCATCCTTGCACTGGCTGAATGAGCAAGTTTTGTATTTCTATACTGATGTATACGAACTAGATTTGGAAGTACGTTATCATGATTTTCGGGTTGTGACCAAAAAGAATCCGGAAAATGTTTGCAATAGCGTATGATTTTAATCATGATTGAAATATCAAATGAGTTAATGTCTGCATTTGGTGTAAACATTTTATTCTCCTGATCTTTAAACAATCTTGCCTTCCTAAAGTTGCTCTTCTGATTCATCAGAAACTGTCCAACATTTTTCTCTTTTAGGTTATTGACTCTTAGGAAGTATTTCCTCATCACATCCGTTCCAAGGTCCACAACAAGTGACATAACTGCTTGGAAGTTTTGCATTTCTGTAATAGTAGTCTTGTCAAAACCTATTACAAGAATTTAAATCGCCAAAATCAGTGTATCGTAATCGTAAAAGAATCCAAACGTATATACTCTATTTAAAATAGATATAAAATTCTAATGATTAGAAAGCATACATTTCGTTATTTACCTTTTTTATGACGTATGTCTTCGATTTCTTTGGATGTGATGCCAAGATTCAAGAAGATTTCTTTTATCCTTTTCCATTCATCTTCGAAGTCTTTGGTTGGTATTCTGCAACTTGTATTCTGATCTAATTTAGTCTTTTTATACTGAGAGATGCGGAACAGATTGGCAAGTACTGGACTGCGTATCGTATGTGGTTGCTGCCACATATCATCAGAAAACGTGGATCCACAACAATAACGTATCAATGTCATCAGGATGTCAATATCAAATGTATCAATGTCAGCATCAGGTGAAAACATCTTATCTTCACCCTGGAAATGTTCCATATTTTCAAAGCTTCCCTTTTCTTTCTCGTTCTTCAGGAATTCAACAAAAGAGGAGCTTGTTTGCTGTGCTGTTTTTAAGAAGAAGTCCTTCATCTTCTTTGTTCCAAAGTCAATAATTAACGACTGAATTGCTTGAAAATTTCTAGTTTCTTCGATGAATTCTGCTTGTAAATCTTTGAAAGGACAAATAAATTAAATGTGTTTTTAAAAGAGATCATTAAAACAATGATATAATGATTCCTATTCATGTGAATTAAAAGGAGATCACATTCGTTATTATCTACTAGATTAATGATTATAAGAAATCACGAGATCTAATCTAAGTATTTCTTTTTGCAATTGTTGAAATGCATCTGCCACCTCGCAAAACGAGTTATGCACAAGGAAATCCCCGGATTTTATTCCCCCCCCCCCACAAAATCGGCTAATTTCCCATTCATAGATGGGGTGGGTGGGATTATACCCAGGGAACTACGGACTAATATCCCCTTCATCACACTGGCAAGTAGTGCTAGTGGATACTTACAATGTAATTTTTTTTTTTTTTTTTTTTTTTTTTAATTATAAAAATAGGGATGTCCCAATCTTTTTAGTGTTTATGACATCGGAAATCGGGACGATGCCGACTAAATCGGGAAGGTTGGCAGGTCTGAAACAATGTAAACAAATAGGAAATAACAATAACAGTGCTCAAATAACAACATGTTGAAATAATCATATTGGCATACCTCACAAATAAGTTTCTTTTTCAGTTGTATGACAAAGGTCTCTGGTACAGTAATTGTTCAGCCAAAATTTAAATTTAGGGAGTGAAAACTAAATGTGAAGTACCAGTATTTCACTCAATTCGCTGGCCATGTTTATCTCAGTATATGTTATGTAAGGCCAACCTTGTATATGTCCAGATAGCCTATATTACAATATACAGTACCAATATGTATTGTCGACATGTCATTGCCAAGAAGTGGTATATTTTTGAAATCTCGTGGGCTGTTTGTTTTTGCTGGATTATCAAGACTGGACTACGTCACTAGAGAACCCACTGCGCCCTGCGCCTTTTTTAATCGCTTTTTAAATCAGTTTCTTTTAAGTCAGTCACGTTTAACGTGCACCGCCATGATCAAATGATTTTTTTTATGCCATTCGTCATGCTGTAATTCAATTTTAAAGTCAAAGGCCGACCAGACTGACAACCAAGCATAGAGGTGTGTGTCGACGGACCGACCAGAAGTGTAGGCTAGCCAAAAAAATAGAAAATTCATATTTGCAATATTTTGTATGTTACAGATAAAAATAAATGAGTGGAAAATGAGTTTGCAATTCATACGCATTTCATCCGGGTAGACCTATCTTCTATTTATCAGTGGTCATCCATCCGTCATCTGTCTATCGTAGACAAGCTAGGGCTAGGCCTGGCCTAGCCTGGCCTTGCTTGTTTTTCTAATATAGTAGTAATAATTCACTTCTTCACTTCAGTTTGTAACTAGGCGCACGTGCGTCCCTACACGCTAAACATCACAAAAACCATAGCAGCCAGAACACGCCCGGGATTTATTAATCTCAGCTTAGCAAATGTCTTCAGTCAAAAAAGTTTAGAAGTCCTTAAGCAAATATCTAAAGTTAATTTATCAAACCATCTTAGCAAAATCTTAGCTCAAAATCGTCTTAGATGATTCATGAGTACAATACTTTTTAATTTTAAGCAATTTTTAAGTTAAGGCGATAGTGATAAATTTGACTTAAGCTAAAAAATGGACTTAAGATTTAGTTGGATAAATCTGGCCCCATAAACCTAGGCGCGTGTTAGTTGCCATGATAATCGCGCGTCGTGCGGTGATTACAAAGGCCTAATGATATTTTGCACTAACATTAGACTGAAATTATATTCTTCATTTCAACATTAATTTTACTCATATTGTGATGTATTGTCGTTCATGAGACTCACTTCGCAGAAAAAATTAATAAATGTTCAGTATCTACTCAAATGTTCGTTTTGTGCACCTTAGTCCAACATTGTCAAAATGACAGTTTAATGTTACATAAAAACATGAAATTTTATAAAATTCGTAAATTTTCAATTGCTCTAACTTTTCCTTTTCTTGGTCAATTTTCATAAATCAAATTGCAGTTTATAGAAGCATTTAACAAGCTCGCGGTCAAAAGAAATCAGATGTAACAGTGTACCCAAAATTAATAAAATAGTACCAAACACCATAAAATATATGGCACGCATAGACCAATAATTGACGGCTGTACTCGCAACTAGTATCGAATTGTCGATGCCACAGTCCGCTATGTTGGTGAGCGGAGATGTGCGTTCTTCTGTTGAATTACCCCCCTATTCCAAGGAACCCGAACCGTCTCCCAGGCCGGGGCTGCAACATCGCGCGCTGTAAGGCGCAGCTTGGGTATCCAATAAAGTAAAATACATAGACCAAAGTTAACTTATTACCCCGAGTAAAATGATACTTCACCAATGACTAAATAAAATGCAGTTTAAGTCGAAAATAAGTAAACACGTTATCGCGTCGTGAATAAAAAATGGGTAGGCCTACCGAGCAGACACTTCGCAATGTCGTGACGAGTTTTACTATTATTGCTCTTTCTATGTTTATTGTTTACCTACGGTAGGGCTAGGCCTATGATATCTTACGGATTTATATGATGTACGTGTGTAACTCTATTGAGTCGCTCCCATCCGATCGCTTCTCGGCAGTTTATCGTTATGCGCTACTATACCCATTTTGGTTGTAGTTGCGCACAGTGATAATGAATAGGATACCATTAAAGTCAGTGACGGGCAGTTCATCACTGTGCGCAACTATACACATTTTGGATCTAGTTGCGCACAGTGAAAATGTAGAGGATACAATTGAAATTAGTGCTGTGCAGTTTATCACTGTGCGCTGCCCGCAGCCCCTTCATCAGGGGCGGATCCAGAAGTTTTGGTTAGGGGGGGCTATAATAGGTATATGTGTAAAGTGCCTCCATGTGCCTGCGGAGGCTAGGTTTGGGCGGAGGTGTCTCCGTCCGACAAGATGGGGTTCAGAGGGGTACGAATGCTTTAGCTATTAGATGTATGTATGTATGTATGCGCTGTCTCTTATACACATCTAGATGTGTATAAGAGACAGTGTTTATCTCCTTCATTAATATTGAACATTTCAGATTCCAGATCATTAAAACGAACTTTACAACTAACATCAGAATAAATATTTTTGATCAATTTATAATTACTTTGCCTTTGATTCCGATACGTTTAGCGGCTGTTATAAGACTTTGACGCCAAACAGAATCAATAATGAAGAGGGTGAACACAGTTCCATAATAAAAATACTGTCCCTAAAGGTAAAATTTGACAATGTTAAGGAGAACCTCAGACGACAAAAGAATTCCTCTTAAAATATGTTTTAAATGTAGTAGTAGTAGTATCCGACGACAAGCAATCAAGAAAAAACTAAACTGGAACAACTCTCTCGACACGAAATTTTTAGTGTATCATACAAACGTTTTAATACCTGCCTCTGACCATAAGCAATCAAGACAAGACTAGACAAGAACGACTCGCTCGACACGAAAATTTTAGTATATTTTATTTACAAACATTCAAATACCTCTGACCGCAAGCAATCAAGGAAAGACTAGCAATCAAGGAAAGACTAGACAAGAACAAACCCGCGCGACACGAAAAGTTTTGTGTATTATACAAACATTGAGACCGCTACACAACGGCCTTTGCTTCGAGATTTGAGCATGAAGGCAAGGCAAAAGCAGCTTTCTTAGCTACGTTTTTGTCCGCCGATCGGTTAAAAAACGTATTTCCTTTTTTATTTTATCACTGAAAACAACTACTGTAAAATGTTTAGCCCATAAATATGATGTGTGTGAAGAAAACATTAAACAATATTTTAATTTGGACCTTCAAAAAGCAGTTAAAATGAAATGGCTATGAATTTTAGGAGGGGGGGGGGGGGCTAAAGCCTGTTCAGCACCCCTCTAAATCCGCCCCTGATCAATGTCTGCCAAGAATCCTAAAGGAAAAGCAAAGACATCAATATTAAAACACTAACATTGTAGACTTCAGTTTGGCCATGACAGACGTTGGTAAAATGTATACATCATTTTATCGGGCGTACATCGAAACAGTGCCTTCAATGTTGTGAGTTGATTTATGTTTCTCTCTGTTTCTCCATCGGACAAGCATTTATAATGCGGCTTTCACAATCTGTTTCTGAAACTTTGTATCTACAGTACAAACTGGTAGGATGTTGAGGCATTGAATGTACTAGTTTTGTGCGCGCTAAAGTAGGCAGCAAATGACTAGGGATATTCCACAGGGAGCAGAGAATGTTGCCCTTTGTGCTGGTTTGCCATTTTATATAAAAATGCTTGTGCCTTTTATCATTCAATTTGAAATTGGTGCCTTATAAATATTTGGGTATTACCATTATTATTATAATTACCTGGCCAGAAAATGTTTTTTTTTCAATTTAACTTACAATTAAAAGCTAATAATACATTAAGCCATTAAAATGGTTGTTTTTTGTCATTTTCCACACTCTGAAATGATTTAAAAATATGCATTTTTGTGAAACTGAACAAACTACACAACAAAGAATAATATCAAAATGATGTTTTTAAGATTATATTAATCAAATGAATATTTTATCATGAATAATGCATTACTAACCATCGTATTCTCTCGTATCTTTAACCTCTGACAATTGAGAGCCAAAGATTTTGTTAGCAAGCTCTGTGAGTCCTTGTTCCTTCAAAGCTCTGCACATCATCTCAACTTGATTTTTCTCGTAGTTTTGTTGTTTCCTCCATTCTGTCAGCATATCCATTATGCTCTCTGGCAATCGTCTCTTATCACTCCATATTTGTTGGATCCTGTTCCTTGAAATCTAGTCATCACCTGTCTCTTATACAAACTGAGACCCAGTCTGACGCCCAGTTGTTTCCACTCCATTCCCATGCCCTCGGCGATACGAAGCAGGTGCTTGTCTTCAAGATAACCAAGACGTTCATCTGAAGTGAAAATAAAAGTAAGTCTAGCACAATAAAATAATTGGAATAATAACATTACTGTAACAAAAATAAAATAATAAATTAAATAAATAATTATAATAATACCTAATAGTCATATAGCTGTCTTAAAAAAATAATTTATGAGACACAAAATAGTAATAACCTCTGAAACACTAACCTGGTGGCGCTGTTTCAGCATCGCTGGAACCTGCTGCTGGCATTGAAGAATCTACAAATGAATTAAAAACAATTTAATACAGAATCAAATGACTAAAATTGACTGCTGTCTATCACATTACATTATGGATCAGGACAAAATCATCTCACATTAAGTTTTAATGGTGAATTTATACTAAATCAGAAGTGGGCTGGAAAAACTTGTTGTTATCAAGCTGGTTGTCTTTAATATTAATAATAAAATGGGATGCTTCTGGAATTAAATCATGTTACAATTTCTGGGATAACTTTTGACTCTGTGCCTCTTTGTTTGCTTTACAATAGCTTTTGATATAAAATCAAATAAAATCAAATCTGAGAATAAAGGGTTGTAAAAACAGTGCATGAATGTTGTCAAAATCAAAAATTTAGTTTGGCCCTCTGACCACTTTTATCCCTTTATTACTGGATAAAGCTTTCAATATTAAACATTGATTTCAAAAAAGCAATTTGAAAATTTAAAAAAAATCTACTGTATAATAAAAAAAAACAAACATAATTATGGCACTAAAGGACATCAAACACAATAGACAAATTAAAATTGAATAATATATATATTACAGATTTGATATAGAATAATTAAATGCTGAGATTAATATAAACTTTGAGCTTATTTTCAAGTTTGTATTTTATTTGTTTAGTAGAGGAATAAATAAGGTATGCTAAGATTGGAGTGGTATTTTACAAAACAACGTGATTTGAGGAAAGGTGGTGGCTTCTACTTGCCGAGATGATTTGAACCACCTGCCAATATGAAGGTGAAGAATGTAATCCCAATAATTTGGACCACCTCCCAACATGAAGCTGAGGAATGTAGTCCCCAATGATTTGGACCACCTCCCAACATAAAGCTGAGGAATGTAGTCCCAATGATTTGGACCACCTCCAAACATGAAGCTTAGGAATGTAGTCCCAATCATCAAACAGTGAGGGAAGTAGAATTCACTGCTTTACCAAAATAAAAAATCATGTTGTATATGCATTACACTACCTCACAAATATTAAACAAAAAACTGTCCGTCTACATTAGCCATACTTGCAAAGATGCTGGTCCAGATATTTGCAAGAGGGGGATGGGGGTCCAGACAGAAAAGAGGACTCTTGTATAAATAACATAAGTTTATACGATGTGGGGTACAGTCGTCTGTCTTGTCACTCTCCCATCTTTTGAAATTCTCGAAAGCCAAAAACAACAACAAAAATAATAATAATAATAATAATAATAATAATAATAATAACAAAAATAACAACAAAAACAACAACAACAATAATAATATTAGCCTGAAAATTATTCTCATTATTAAACTCCCCCCCACCCCCCACCACAAAAGAAAAAGTTGCAAGCTTGGCTATTTACCAACATCTGTATAATTATAGTCATAACTACTGCACTGCGTACCAAGTGGAAATGGCCAATGAAATGTTACCAATATTTAATACCTAATTAACATATTTAAAAAGTATAGTAGAATGTTATCTGGTATTGCTAGTTTTCCTTAGTTTTTGTTATTTACCTGTCACTAGTTGCTTATTCTTGAACATCTTCTGAAGTTTAATTGTGGTTATCAATTCCTTCCCGCATGGAATACAGACATTTTCCAGGCACTCCTCCAAATCGTGGAAGTGCATTTCTCGCAAGCTTGTCCAGCACAGGACACGGAACTTATAACGTGTGTGCTTCATTCCAGATGTCAGCACTTGCATCTCTTTCTTCAGAAACTCTAACACCTTTAACAAAGATTTTAAAAATAATTTAAAAATGGAAATTTAAAACATTACAAAAAATTTAAGAAAAAAATGATATGCAATATTAAGAGAAGCATCACCAAAAACAATGGTTTCACAGTTTGAATCGTTACATTTTATGATTTAATTGACTTAAGATGCTCAACAATAAAATTCAACAATTTTAACAGGCAATACAAAGGGGTGGATCCAGAATTTTTTAACAGTGGCAAGGGTGTGGGGGTGTGGAAAGTTTTTGTTTTCTAGTTTGTCTTATTTCAATACATGACATTGTATGTAACATTTTAAAATGTAGTGGCAAAATGGAGGGTGTGGTGGGGGAGGGGGGTTGTACTTTCAATTCATAGAGACTATTTGTATTAAATATACACGACACAAATACACATCTATTACCATTGCCTGGATTAATCTACTAATTCCTATGATTCTCCAGGTAATATTCCTATCATCACCATTGATTTGTGTAATTTTACAGCTGCTATTTTAATTGCATTTCGATTTTATTTATCAATTATTACCTGCATACAGACTCTAGGACTGGGTTCACCTGTTGATGTCTTGCTACCGTCCTCGTGAGTGATACGCATCCGTGATATTTCCAGCTAAAATACAAACATAAAATCAACCAATAATTCAATAGTGCATGCCCCGAATCTAGGTAGGGTTAATGCAAAATGCAAAGTAAGAAGCAGGGAAGGGGGTTTTGATTTTTGTTTAAAAACTTTTAAAAAACTGCTGTTTTGGAGTACCATGCTCCACTTTCTTTATCATTTTGTTGTTACAATTGTATTCAATTTTTTTTTTGTGGGTGGGGGGGTGTGGGCGCCTTATCAATGTCCACCAGGATCTGCTCTTGTGAAATACCCTCCTTAACACTCCTTTTGTTGGGATTACTGTGAGGAGCATCACCCCTTATTCACCTTAGGTGAATAAGGGGTGCAACATCATAAATGTGCAACATCATAATAACTCATAGAAAAAATCTACTTAATTTCATTACCAATCACTCAAATAATTAGTAACTATATGACATCACTAAATGTCTTACCTTCAATGAGGGCTTGTTATTAATGACTACTGGTCCTAAGCTGAGAGTGTGTTCAAGTCCTAGGCGAATGTTTGCATAGTTGCTAAATAATTCCAGTATGGCTGTGTAGCCC